AGTGACAATAAACTATTAGTAAATAAACTTCTTTTTGTTTTCTTTTCCATTGACAAACTAAAAGTAACTTTTCTTTCTTTTTTTTCTATTTTCTCAAAAATTCGGCAGCATTTCGGCTACTTACTTGGTACTAGCGGGGTTTTTTTTTTTTTTTTTTTTTTTTTTTTGGAAATCAACTCTCTACACTGCTATTTTCTCTTTTGGTTTTTCCACTTTTCCCAAATATTCAAAGCCGGTCAGCATGCGGGTCCCATACAGATAAATGCACAAGTAGGATGCAGCAGGATGGTCCATTATTCCGGGTACACCTGTCCTAGACGGACCCAACCCCTGTGTTGAGTCCCCTAAGTCATATGCACGTGATGCAAATAAGCGTTCCTACTAGGGATCCGGTATGAAGTCAATTTATTCTAGGTTCAAAACCTGGGTATGTGTTCTAGACTGTGTACCCGAGCGGACAACTCGAGTCGAGGAGGGGGCTACGTACCGGGAACCAAAAGGCCATCCGACTTAGTAACTTGTCCGGCCTCTTTCTTATTTCAGGGTATTGACACTAACAGAATAGGGAGTCTCAACCAGTAAGCACATCCCCGGAGATGAGAAGAGAAGGGTTTCGGCACAGTTTATGTACAGTTCAGATAATATCAAAGCGGTAAAAAGCAACATTTTGCACACTTAGCATGAAACATGTAGGAAAATCAGATAAAGCCAAATACAACAATATATCTAAGCTCGAATTCTGAACCCAGAACCAAAGTTCTGGGTTCTTGTCCCCAGCAGAGTCGCCAGAGCTGTCACACCTCCTTTTTCCTACACCTGTGAGGGTGTAAAAGAGTTTTTCCAATTAAAGGACAATCGGAACGGGATTTATTATTGATATTCAGAGTTGCCACTTGGGAGATTGATGGTGTCCCAAGTCACCGGTTGAATCCCGATCCGAGGAAGTTATGACTCTGTTAACAGTCCGCGAACCAGAAATCCGAGTAAGGAATTCTGTTAGCCTGGGAGAAGGTGTTAAGCATTCCCGGGTTCCGTGGTTCTAGCACGGTCGCTCAACTGTTGTACTTGATTTTATCTGATTTCAAAACATGTCCAAACTCATGTGCTTTTATTAGTAAACCGCTTTTATTATTTTTTTTTATTTTTTATAAGAATTGCAACGTCGTGAAAATGCATCTCGAACCACGTTGCACCAGTGCACCCGTGATTGTTAACACATTTCGACTTCGTTGAGATTTGGATTTGGGTCACATAAATGTGCACCCGAATTTAGGAAAGTAATATTATTAAAATACGCGCCTAAAGCGACTACGCGTTTTCATCTTTGGGGAAAACCGTGAAATTCGCTAAACGGCTCGTCCCGGAGTCTAAGGTTGAGTTAAATCTAATTAAACGAGGGCCACTGACTAAGCGATTGTATGGCACACCTCAATTTTATGTTCTAAATTACTTAAGACTAAAGATGTTTACACCAATCAAAACAGTAAAATTCCTACGGCTAAACGTATTTACGGTCCT